TTTGTGAATTCAGTTCAATAATTGTTAAAATATATCTGTCATTTGTGTGTTTTTAGCTTTCTTCCTGTATGGGAAGCTTTTCAAAATTTGAAACATTGGTGTAGTGGTTTATGTTAAAATAAACCTTTGGGTTAAGTTGTCGCAAGCAGGTTTTTCTTGGGTTTCTTGTGAATTTGGTCTTAAATTTTTTTTCAAGTGACATTAAAAAGTCTTGAATTTAACTTGCCTTCTGCTGTAGGAACCCTGATGTTAATAAACTTTTTTTTTTGCTAAAATTGAAACTTGTGTCCGGGGGTTCTGCATGGAGTTTGCATGTTCTCCCTGTGCATGCGTGGGTTCTCTCCGGGTACTCTGGCTTCCTCCCACAGTCCAAAAACATGACTGTTAGGATAATTGGCTTCTCTAAACTCTCCTTAGGTGTGAGCGCGCATGAATGGTTGTTTGTCCTGTTTGTCTCTGTGTTGAGCGTGACAGAAATGGATGGATGAAACTTGTGTAACATTTTTTACCACTGTGCCATTTTTACCACCTAAATTTGGAAGATAAAGTTATTTCTGCTTCATAATCTTCCATCTAAAATCTGCAGCATATGTCAGAGATGGGTTAAAGATCTAACCTATTTCTAGCACAAACCCTTCTACATTGGGAGGTCATTAAAGACCTGTTGTGTGATGTTGAGTTATGGCCTCACTTTAACTTTAACCAAAAATATCTGTTGCTGTTAGAAAAAAAAATGAATAGAAGAACCTGCAGCCTTCTGCATCTTATTGTGATTGAATAATGTTGGACATAATCAGAAGCTACTGAACATGTGACATTGATCCTGATTTCAGTTAGATTGTTGCAGTTTAATCATTTCTCCAAGCTATCTGGCATTTATGCTTGAAAAAAGGTTGATTTTAATTTTGTTTTGAATGTGAGCATTGACAGTAATTTAGGTAAAAATAGAGAGATATTCAAAATAACTGTAGTGAGACTGAAATAAATGCTGGATATTTGTTTGGTTTACAGCTGCAGGATCTTGGTCAGCCACCTAAGGAGCTGGCAGGAGAAGCGGTGAGTCATGAACTTAGATAACTTTTATTGTCACTTTGTATACACATAGTGTATAGAA